ACACTGCGGTGCAGTTCCCAGCAGTGCCCAGAGGAGAGGCCCCACGGGTTTACACCTCCAGCCAAAGGGGCAGGTCCAAAATAACCACAGCACATCTCAGGCAATGCTTGTTGACACCCAGCATTCTGGTGCAGGCTCCTTCCATGTATGCTATGCTCCATCCCAGTGCATCCTCCCAGGGAAACAAACCCAGAGCTCTCGGCTGTCACAGGACATTCTGGCTCACAAAGGTGTTTGAGCCTCTGATGTTACTTCTGGTGTTTTTAAAGAAACTTTGAATACATTCAAGGTGAATTTAATGACCTCCTGTTATCCAGAAAAGGCAAAGTACAGAAAAAATAAAGATCTCACCTGCACTTGTATCTATTATGGTCAACTCATGTTAACAGAATGTTTTGCTTTAATACTTGACTTACATTAATACCTCACATTATTACACGTATGAAGCCAAATATGACGCTAACTTAGTTGCTTACAACCTCAAACCTTACTCCCAATACACATTCCAATAAATTTATTCTGTAAAAACAATACATTTTTTTGTTTCCTTTTTGTTTTGTTTTGTTTTTTAAGTTTTTTTTTCTCGTGGTTTTTTTTTTTTTTAGTTTTTTACAGTAAACTCATCAACTACAAACCTTGAATACGCAAAAGATGTTCCAAAGACAAGCATAACAAGGATTGATAAAACCAGACTAAATATGTTTTCACAATAAAAGCTGGCATAAAAATAAATAAAAATCTCTATTATCACAATAGCAACAATAATGTACACAGAGTAATGGATTTGGAATGCTTACTTACTAGTCTAGTTCTATTTCCAAAAGGAAAAGAAAAGCCAGAATGACAGCATCCTTTTTTAAGCCTTTCGTAGTTTAAAATCGATGTTGTGTTTTGGTTTCCCATAGGGTTCTATATCACAGTCAGCTTAAAAATGGAAAGCATCCAAATGAATGATTTCAAATTGTGTTGGCATTGGAAAAAATCCTTGTATTAATCTAAAGAAACACAAAAAGACTTTCACTAACTCCACATATAGGAACTAAGTCAGATAGTGTACATTACATCATGGTTTGGAGAAGTATTAAGAGTATAACTAGCTAGGTACTTCTAATAAGGAAAGGTATTTTATTACATTATTGAACTTGGAGGTGATCTCAACTGAAGAATTTTTCTTTTATGTTGTAAACGGATCAAAAAATCAAGAAAGTATGGATATAGGGAAATTTAAAATCATGTTTGTACGTGGAAGATATTGTAGCATTGTATGGACAGGACTCGTTTCTAAGATTCAGTTGTGTTTAAAAAAATGTTGATTTAGAATGATATAATTTAGAGTTATGCCTTTTCTGTCTAGAAAAGGAATCTAAAACATGTTCAAGTATCTTCATAAACCTCAGCCAAAGGTAAAGGTAAAGGGCAACTTCATGCAACCAAGTAGTATGAAAATCAAAAAGTAACCCTTAGAAAAAAGGGTAAAAATGTCATTTCTGCAAACACAACAGATAGGAATGTGAATAATGTGCATACAAACTGGGATGCTGTTGATGGTACTAATGAACAGATGTGGTGACTCATATCAAATCCAAGAATATTAGACAACCAAACATGTAACCTTCTTGTGTTTTCCCTTAATATTCAGCAGTCATTATGTTGGTTAAGTCTGAAAAAGAGAGAGAGAAAAAAAAATCCCATTTAATGTAAGAAAAAACATGCTGCAACAAACTTGATACAACTAGTGTCTTATTCCCACACTTCAGAGTCACAGGTACCACTAACCACCTGGTCTGTTCAGACAAATTTATTTTCTAGAGAAAACTGTTTATGCTACATCAACTAAACATACCATTACAAAATATTAAAGAGCACAATTTAAAAGTAAACATTTAAGGCTTTACTCAAATAAACAGCTCCTGTGATGTGAGTGGGGTTTTGTTTCCCCAATCTCTCCATTACGAATCTTGTAGCACACTTCACACACAACCAAATTTTGCTTTTTTCCACTGTGCTAAATCACAGATTGGCTTCACGCTCAGGCACTGCTGCATTCCTGGACACCCTGGCACGAGAACAGCCTCTTGTTCAAACACAGGAACACTTAGCAAGCATGAGGAAAGATAAACAGTTTTCATCACTAAGGGATACAAATGTTGTTTCTGAAAAGGAAAGAGTTTGGCTTGAGTTTGCTTGTAAGGTGATGACAGAAAAGGAAACTCCCACTTTCATGGCTGAGTCAAGGTCAGCTCTTGCTTCCACTGACACGAGTGGGATCAGGATCAGAATGTCCACATGTGATCATGGCAAGTGTATACAAGTCTTGGTTTCCTCATGTTGAGCAGAGATGGCAAAGCTCACCCGCTGGCACCGGGACACACTACTTCAGCCAGCAATATGACAACATGCAGTGTGCCATGAGTACCCAGCCCTGGCCAAGGCATCTCCTCTCCTTTGTAAAGAACTCAAAGCATGAATGCTTGTCCACCCACGCCCTGACACATGGAAACAAACAGCACACATGAGCAGCATGAAGGGATTGGTACTGTATTTGGTGTGATTATCCATGAAAAAAATCAACATCGAGGAGTAAGTTGGGGGAGTATAGGTTAAATCCACTGGGTGTGATGGAATTTTCACTTTGCACAGGATCTGGAGGAGGATACAACAAGAAGGCATTTTACCATCCCTGCACTAGCTGTTTGCTGCCTAAGCTCTCTCCTGCTCTGGCCCATCATACCTGTGTGTGTGAAGCTGCACTGTAGCAGACTTTTCTATCTTGCTTCTGTGTCCAAAAGGATAAACACATTCAAGTGCCCCCTTGGCACACTGGGATCCTGACCAGGTTGCTGCACCTCACAGCTAAGGGCTGTGTTTGGTCAGTGTGGTCCTTCTCTCCTGTGACAAGTGGTTTGTCAACAGTAAGTAACAGAAACCTTCCCTTTCTGTGTGGGAGGTCCTGGTACATCCTGACTAACGACACATGATCAGGGGTTGCTATAAAATGCTCAGGCATGCAGTGATGGCTTACAGGAACTGCCTGAGCCCTTCCTCCCCCAAAAGGTGTGTGCTCATCCAGTGCACTGCACTCCACTGACCTCTCTCCTGTTTCAGAGTCAATGAGATTATACTTACAGGTGCCCTGAACTTGTGGCTTGGAGGGGTTCACTGCTGTTTCTTTCCCTTTGGATGCAGACACCCATTAAAACAACTATGTGTGAATAGTCAATCAAACCATGCCTTCTGCTAAAGTCCCCAGTGACAGCTGCTGCCCAGCACTGACAGGCAGGATGGTGGTGAAACAGTCAGTCCCTATAGCATCACCCTCAGATCCAGTATGGAAGGCTGTGCTTTTGGAATATGAAAGCTTTGCACTTGCTAACAACAATTCCCCTCTGGGCTAAGGCCAGAAGATTGGGTAGGCATCACTCTTACATGGGGTGCTGGGAATATTAATACTTCCCCTCCTCACTGTCTCACAGATATTGCTGCTGGGCCACAGTGTGGCACAGGAGAGAGAACAAAGAGCCAAGTAAGCAAAGCATCCTCTGGGGTTTTCACAGTTTCCAGTGCCATCTTCCAGCATGACACACATTTTGTCTCCCAGGCACACTCCTAGGTGCCCCAGAAATCAGCAGGTCTCTTGTCCCTAGATGCAGGCAGCCCTAGGCCAGCACAGCTGCTCAGGCCCTCCCCTCCCATGCAGCTCTCCCTGCCAGGCTCTGCACTGCGTGGCAGCCGCGGAACAAGGATGCGGCAGAGCTGAGCAGTTTCCATGGTCTCCATGGTTTCATGTCTCTTCAGAAACAGATCAACTCTCATCATCTTTGTTTGAACAAGTCTCTCAGCTTTACTGTAAGCTCTGGTACAACGTGTGCTGCGCTGACCAACACTACTGCACACAAAGGAAACAGCACAGGATCTCACTAATTCGCGTGAAAAATGACTGTCATCAATAAAAACAAAGCACAGACAACACAGAGCAGGGAATAAAACTAAATCCACAAATTGCTGTGGGCTTTTTGGCATTGAAAATTCCTTCCTCAACAGCATCTGGCAACAAATTTGGCCATCCTGTACTTTAAAATGCTCTCACTGGATGGGCAGAAGGATAATTATTTACTTGCTCTGTATAATTGTTGTTATTCCATGTTGGTTTGAGGTCAAAATGCTTACAGGATTCAGTGTACACAAAGCTGCAAATATTTCATCTATACTGGCTGCTTTAATCTCAACTTGCATTCAGACATTTATGTTTCTCCTGAGTTATGTCCCATGGCCTTACCCAGCAGTGCTGTTACACTGAGTGATTGGAAGGCAGCGGACAACACAACTCTTTACACCAGAGGCTATGCCACTATTTGATTTTTACATAGAAACTTTTACTCTGCAATCCACAAACACATTTTTACAGATCTTATCTTTTTTTGGAGGGGCAGATTTTAACTTGCCTCAAATTGCAGAAGAAAAAAAATCAGAAATATATGCTCTGTTTTCATTCTTTTCTGGAAAAATGCTCACAGAAATGCTTCTACATTGAACTGAGCCCTAAATGGGCTAAATGGATTGTTGCTACCCCAGGAGAACAGCACAACCAAAACCCCAGGACACAGACTGTTTGAAATATGTTCTCCCAATTGCAATAGTATCAGATGGCAGTAATTCTGGACCAGATTTTGATCCCCTTATTCATGCTGGCAGTCACCTCCACAAATAGATCCACTGACTCCCATGTTAGTAACTGATTGACAGTGTGAGTAAAAGGATCTCAGTCCTTTATCACACTTTAATATTCAGACTGTACCATGAACAAAACCATGTATTTCACTTCCAACAAATCTATTATTTTTCAAAGATTCAGTAAAAATCATTCACCTCCTGACAGGCAACCAGAAGCACCCCGAGAGAATGCCTCCTGGACCAACCCAGTGTCCACACTGTAACCAAGAAAGTGAATACCAACAGGAAAACTTGCCAGCTGCCCTGTGTGCGGATCCTAACACTCAAATGCTCTCTAATAAGGCCAGAACCACAACCAGCTTCCAAACATCAGCATGTGGGCATCCAGAGAGTAAAAGGAAAAAAACCCAGCTTGGGTGTTCAGTTCTAAAGATCCAGAGCTATGCCAGTCAAGAACCAAACACAGCATTCACCAGAGATGTAAATGTGGAATGTAAATCTGCTGCCATGAATTCACTGATTTATGAGCTAATTGTATACCATAGAAAGTAAACAACACAGAGTCAGGAATACCTTTCCACCAGAAAATTCCATTTATGTGGTATTCTGAGAAAGCCAAAACAATTTAGCATTTAACTGCAGAGGACAGTCATGGAGAGACTGTGACTCAAGACTTGAGCAAACTCTGGGATGGGCTGTCTTAGCTAATATACTATTAGTTAATTAATATTAGATGATAAACCCCTGAGGTTCAGGCTCTGCATCTTTCTGGGGAAGGAATCAGCCAAAGAAGAGCAGTGAGGGAAAGGGCTTGAGAAACAGGTAGTGACAGGACACAATTACCAACTGTGGCTGAGGCTGAGGAAGCTAATGTCTCTTTCTTGAGAGTGCCTGTAGTACTTAAAAAGAGTTGAGAAACTAAGGGACGGAGATAAGAAAAGAAAGCACCTTTGTCAGCCCCAGGGATAAAACAAATCACAAGTTGAACCCTGGAACAGTATGAAATTGGCTGAAAAAATATAATAGCTTCGGAAGTACTTTTATTTGCTCTGGGTTTGAGTCTTTAGGAAGCCATCAATTCACATTTTCAAGCTTACCTCTACCACCTGGAGGTTAGAAATTTCATTAAAAAATATAGGTGAAGATTCTCCTGCAATCATATGACTTCAGCCGTTAGCCCTTCAAGAAGATCCCTATAATGCTGAGGGTAAGAGTGTGATTAAGAGGCCAGATTCCCTCTGATCTGAGGAAGGGAGATGTGTTTTCAGCCAGGCATTATAAAACGTAATTACTACCTCATTATTAGTAGTATAAAGAGAAAAGCTGCTTGTCTTCTTGAGGTAATTCTTGCATGGTCTGAGGCCTGGGAGGTGCAGAGCACAGGAGCCAAAGGAGCACTACAGATAGGGCAGCCAAGCCCTACTGCACACCTGCCTTCCACAGGTGGCCCAGCCTCCACCACCAGGCAGCTTTAAGCAGCTATCACAGTGGCCAAACCAGGGGAATGAAACAGATCTGTCCTCCAGATCAGGGCCTTGAACTTGTTTGCTTGTCTCTTTGATTTCCTGGTACCTTTCTACAAGTTGTTTTGACCCAGTCTGCTGTGGTGTGCCAGGCAGCCCCAGCCCCTGCTCGGGGGAGCAGGTTTGACCCCAGCACACATTCATTCCTGCAAACTCTTGGCGCCATCTCATGGCCAGAGACACGTCCCTGGCACAGCTTGGGAGGGCAGAGCCGTGGGGACACAGCTCCCATGCTGCACATCTTCTTCAGACTGAGTGCTGTTGGTCCAGAGCATTTCTCTCACAGGCTAAATGATTCTAAAGAGACCATTGCCTCATCTCTGGTGGTGTCCTTTAGCAGACCAAGACATTCTTCTGAGTTCTTGTGTGTAAACAATAGGACCAGATCCCAGCTGCAGGGACATGTTGGTCTTTTTCGAACTTGCTTTCGACAGAGAAGTCCAAGCGTGTGGGATGGAGGAGCTCAAGCAGAGCCCTCTGGGTGCCTAGCAGGATGTGGCAGCAGGATGACTGGCCCTGTACCCCAGCTCACCAACCCAGACACACACTGTGGGACTGGCTGCCCCACACCAACCGAAAAAAGAAATCTGATTCCTCTTTCCCCAGTGCCGTGTGATGGATGAAGGCACCGCCTTCTTAGAAGGTGGTCTGGCTCTGAGGACAGCAGGAGATGGAGTGTCCCCTCCTGGTCCTGAAAGAGAATTGCACTACTGGCAAAAGCTCAATGAAACGCTGAAGAGATACACATGTGAAATGCTGGTTCTGTGGCAGAAATGCCCAAGGTGAAATATATGGATCAGGATGTGAATTTTTCCAAATTCATCAGTACTTTTATCTCAAGCTGCCCTTCAGCCCATCTCCCCATGTCTCTTTCATCCCTATTACTAAAACTCCACCTTTCCCAGCATGTTAAAAGCATCCAAGCCCCAGTTACAGACTGATGGTTCAAGTATGAGGTCAAGGCCAATTGCAGAAGTCAGAACAGAGCCAACTCCCCACGTGGGTGTGGCAATGTTGACTATTTCTGCGAGTTGGTGCTGGCAGGAAGGACACAGACTGTTGATATTTCAGTGCAGAGGCTAAAATATCTGACATTCTGAAAATGCTGAAGAGCACCACAATATTCTGAACATGCTGGACTCTACATCCCAGCAGTTATAAGCATGTCACATACAGAAGGAAGAGCCATATGAATGTCACCAGCCACAAAGCCAACATCCTATGTGACCTCACAGCCACTTAGTTTGTGACTGAGTTAACTCAGTTAGCATTTTATCCTTACATGGAGAACATGCCTGAAATTCACAGACAAACACCCTGTCACTGCTACAGACACGGGAAACACAGCAGGCCCTCCTGAACCTTTTGCTACCTCAGATGGACTTTACAAGCAGTTTTCTCACTCAAACACCTATTTAAAGACATGGAAGTGTCAGAGGGTTCACTAGCCAGAATGTGGGCTACGCTTAAACTATGCCCTCGGCACACTCATCAGCCCCAGACTGCGACATTCCGTGGGTGAGGGGCTGGGAGGGCTCAGCCTGGCAGTGCCTCCTTGCATCAGTCTCTGGCTCAAGCCAGCAGCTTGTTCAGAGTGAGTGGGAGAGGCTCAGGGCACATGATCCTCCTGCTGACCCCATGAGCCACCTATCAAAGTCTTTATAAAGCAAAGAGTCACAAAACATACACTGTGCTGCAGAGAGGCACAGGGAAAGGAAACTCTAGGAGGAATCTTTAAGCAAGAGACCACAACATGTCCCCAGGGGTTGTGTTTTGTGAGAAAGGGCTGAGGCTGAGCACTCAGCTGGGTGCTGAGGCACCTCAGCTGTGTCAGATGAGAGCCTGTGCTGGCTGGTGTCCTCTCACACCTGGGGATTCGTGTCACTCAGCTCCTGTGACAGTCCAGCACGGCTGCTGGCCACACAGCAGAGCCTTGGCGTGGGATCTGCACAGGGACTGGTTCTGAGCTGGAGCTGCAAGTGCTGCAGCAGGGAGGCTTGCACTGCACCAAAGGCTCAGAAACAGCAGGGGTTGTTAAAGGTGGCTGATGATTAACCAATTGCCACACTAATCCCCCTGCTCAGCAGCCTTCCTTTCTGTTGTTGTGGTCACAACAAAATAATATTGATATGAACACACAACTGACACAAACACACAAGGAGATTGTTTGAAGCTGCTCTGGAGCAGACTATATATCCCCTCCTTGGAAGGTCATATGCCAGGACAGGATCTGCCCTGAAACACACAGTATGCAGAGTCTGTAATGTGCACATGAACCTCCATGAACTCTGAAGACAGTGGGACTGCACAAATTTTAAACAAGTGTGAAAGGGTAAGCAGGCTCTCCCTGCTAGTGAGCCAACATGCATTATGCAAACAGTCTGATTCTGCTCTCACATCAATTTTGCATCATTCCAGCTCATGGTTTCCAGTAGCTCCTCTCAGCTGACATCTATGCAAGTGTTGGAACAAAAATAATGCTTATAGTATTCTTTTTTCATCCAGTCATTTCTCTAGAGCAAAATTTGTATCACTGCAGGGCCCAGGCCCATGTTTCTGTTCTAGACACATTCTGAGCACTGAAATGCAACCCAAACTGGCCTGTGGTACACACAGGTCATGGCAAGGCAGGGCTTTTCACCCCTGGTCCAAAGCCCCTGGAGCAAACTGCATGGGAAGTGAATGACATTAACAGAAGATTACCCCTTCACTGGTTTTCTGCAAATCTGAAGAAGTGTTTCTTGTGTCATTGCCTGCGTCCCCAGCATCAGAGCTGCTCTTATTTTCTTCCTCTTTGCAGTCCTTATCATCTTCATCTCCAGGAGATTTCCGTGACTGCTTGGAGGATTTCTAAAATGGTCAACAACAAAGTTAAAATTAAAAACTGAGTTTAAGTCATAGAAAGATACTTCTGAAATGTCTGTGAAAAGCTGTCAATCATGCTGTTCCCTCTTCAAGGTGAATATTGGGGAGATATGTGGGGTGAAAAGTGTTTTTCAGGTGAAGGGGCTGGAGTTACTGCCATCAGTGAAACAAAAGAGAAATTCTGTGTTCAGCACAGGTTGGCAGCTCAATTGACTGAAAGACAGACACAGTAATAGGAGCTGGGTATTAGTGTTGGGTCACCTGTAGGTTTTGTTAGTTAATGAAACAGATGGTGCCAGCTCGACAAAAGTTTTGATTAAACACAGAGATGTAAAACGAGAATAACATTAGCAGAGCTCTTTCCATACTCTTTTTTAGTGCTGTCAGCTTTAATATATTAACATTAAAGCCATGTGGAACCAATACATCTTTTCTGCTCCCTTTATGTTATGCAATTTTACAGTACAAAAGGATAAATTGTGGCATTAAGCCACCATTTTACTAATCCACTGTTTGCCCAGAGTCTTCTGGAAAGAAGATGGTAGTCCAGACCTGAATTTCTAATGTAAAACACACAAAGGGGGTGAAATTACTTAATACATTTTGTTCAGTGGATGAACCACAAAAATTGACACTCTCCCCCAAACTGAGCCCGGATCGGATTGTTTGCTTGCTGCTTCTCATTTCATTTAGTTTTCGCTTTCGGAGAATTACATGAATGTGATTAAATGTGATCCTGCCACACCTTCCACAATTTTTTAAGCAAAGTACAGACCCGGAGGCACACACAGAACCAGGGGAAGTGACTATAATGTTGCTCCTATTCACCCAGGTGACAAATATCTGAACCTAGAAGTGTCACTATTCAGGTGAATATGTTCACCAGCCATTGTAAGGCAGACACATTACTTTTAGCTTCCTGATCTATGCTGTTACTTAGACATTAACAGGGCTGGTAGGCACGACAATGCAGGTTATTCATCTACAAATTGAGCACACTACTCCCTGCTTAATGTATTAGTTCTTCCTCCTTCCTATTCTGTGTCCTGTACTGAAGTATTTTACACTCAGCTGCAAGAGGAGCATCTGGAGCACTCACACTGGAGATGGGAGAGGAAAGCTTGAATGCTCCTGGACAGGAACCAAACCTCAACTCATGTCTCCCAGGACACATGCTCCTAAGGCCTTTTTTGTTCTTCATGGGGAAAGACCTAAGATGATCAAACCTATCAATCCATCTTTGAATGGATTTTCTTTCCAGCTCTTCCAAACTCCTTCCCATACTTCCACGTCCTTCTCAGAGTGTGGGCACTAGAACAGGGCAGAGTTCCACTGTGTCCCACCAAGGCTGTCTACAAAAACAAGAGCCTATTTTATCACCACTGTTATGGTGCTGGAATCAAATTACTAAAGAAGGAAGAACAGATTGCCATGAGGTGGACAGAATTCCAATTATAAATGCACATGGGTAACAATAGGAAAACTCAGAAGATAACCTTTGAAGTGTAGGATTTTTTCCGTTTTGAGCCGGCTTTTTCATTCTTTCTTTTTCCTTTTCCATCCTCCTCTACCCGATCGCCTTCCTCCTCACTGCTGGCATCTGCTGTATTTCCTCCTTCTCCTTCAGTTTCTGATGAGCTCTGTTGCTGAATTGCCTTTAAAATAACAATAACAATAATAACATAAACAACAAAAATATCACTACAATCTATTACTTAATTTTTGTGCTGTACTGAATATAGAAATACTGGTAATGGACAGCTTACACTTTAATTGCTGTGGTCAGGAAGAGCTCAGGTTATTCTTGCAATTATCAACAAAAAAGGGCTGCAAAGGCAATTTTCTCAGTCACCACTTGAACACAGTTATCAGATGCAGATCCTGGGATAGCATGTTCTGAAGGGTTTACACAGAAACAGAAGATCCGATAACAAAAATGTGTTCTCTGGAGAACTAAGGGCTGCTCGGTGGAGGGAGCTGGCATGTCCCACTTTGGGCAAAACTATGGAAACTTAGACTTTGGCTGCAATAGGAGAGACTTATTCAGGAGAGAAGTTGTCTGTTACATCCCTGCAAAGGGCAAGATCTCTGTGTTAGGAAAAAGCAAACACTGACCAGAAGGCTGAGTGCTCTATGACAGTCCATCTCCCACAGACTATTCACTAGATTTTTTTTAAATCCCCAAGTGTATGCAAAACATCTGTAGGGCTGAAAATATGAAACAGGAACTGAGAGGGGCAGCAGCTTTTCTGCAGGTGGTCTGTATCTCTGGCTTGTAAGGTTTTGTGATAATAATGTAATAGGTGTTTGTCTTCTTTTGGAGGTGATTTGTGCCTTCAAAGGACCACGTTTTAATGAGAAAAGTTCTTTGGTTTTATACAGCCCACCAACTACTCTTCCCCCTCTCCAGCTTCACTGACTTTCTGCTCCAGACACCCAACAGGGAGAGCTGTTGTACAGCAGCAATTGTCTCCTAACAGCAGCTTAACCCTCCACCTCCTCAACCCTCTGAGCTGTGTCAGTGGTGTCCTACGTGTTATACACTACCAATGTAAAAATCAAAAGTGCAGTGACCTTAAGGTCTGTGTAAAATACACCAAGCCTGATATAAAAATAAACAACAGAAAGAAGAAGTCAGAAATTATTCATGTTTATACTGAAGTAAATAAACCCTTCCATTTTTAATTCAACTAAATCTGCTGCAGATTCACCACCCCAGAATATCACAGAAAGCAAAGGGCTCTGCAGTATGGTTAAAATTCCATTTGTGACAGAGTGCAAGACCACAGTCATCTTTGCATTACACAATTACTACAGCTGTGAAACTTTCTTGCTCCACCAAACCCAGGACTTCCACATCACTCAAACAGTGTTCTACAGACAAGAGTTCTTCAAAGAAGAAAACAAGAGAGATAAGGAGGAATAGATGTGAAATTCATTTACCTGATATCCAGTAAATTTTACTCCAGGGTTGTTTTCTATTTCCCACAGGCCTTCATTAAATCCTTTTCGCTTGTTCGACTTCCCAAACTTATCTTTATATTCTTTATATGGGAAAAGGTCTTTGGGCCCCAGGAACGCACTGTATTTTAACAAAGGTAACATTCAAGAAAGGACTTAAAACCCTCCTCTTCAAAAAAACCAAAACATTAACAGTGCATATGTTTTCCCTATTCTTCTGCTCATTCCATCCTTTCTTTTCCAGTTTTATTTATTTGTTTAATTACTTCTCAGCCTGAGCTTGAGTTACTGTTGTGATTTAAAGGATTGGCTCACCATCCTGAAGTTACATGTAGTAAAATCATGCTGGGTATCTCTAGAAACAACTAAAACATATCTCCTTTATTATATTAACTACTACTGGCACTTAGACAGTTTATGACAGGGATTATATGATGTAATTGCCTGCAATAGCAAGGGACCAAAGTGCCAATCATAGTGTTAGAAATCCAGAAAGGCCTAAAAATGCCATATGAAAAGTTAGAGCATGTTAGGAGTGCCTAGGACCCAGGAGCCAAATAGTTTATGTCTTGTACTACAGGACAGAAAAAGCAGTGGCATTTATCTATACTGCCAGAAAGCCTGGGAGCTTCTTTCTTGGAGCAAGCCCCCCACATACTAGTTCTGTGCAAACACAATAAAAATGCCCTTTCCCAAAAATCTTATAATTTCATATAAGACAAGAAACAATGGATGAATATAGGCAGATGAGTAATACAAGGAAACAATGAGACACACAGGGTGCTTGTGGCCAAATAGTTTTTGAGACAGCACAGCAAAGGAGGGATTTTGTGCTCTGCTGCTGCCTAAGTCAGCTACACACTGGGCCAACTAATTCAGGCACAGGCACCACAATGCAGGGAAAAATAATTACGAAAAATAGAGTGGTGATTTATCCTGCTCTTTCTACACACATTACAGTAAAACTCTAATTTCTTACATAAAACTTAAGAAAGCATACCTTTCTTTCCATTGGGTATCTGAACCTACTGTGTTCTGTGTCATGGTATTGAGGTGGCTAATTGCAAGTTAAATAAAAACAGTGAAGGCAAGAGGACCCCTTCATTCCCACTGGAAGATTCTGTGTCACCAATGACCTGAGCTGAGCAAGTCACAATGTCCTTTACTATAATCACTGCCCTAGTTTCCTGATGATCTTTGCAATTAACGTTAACTCTCTGGTCTCCATTACCATGGGATAGAGAAGATCCACCATGTACAACACATTTATCATTGTAATCTCACCACAAGGCTGAGAATTTGTCCTTTTTTTTACAGATGGGCTTCTGAGGCACAGAGATTTGCCCAAGGTCAAACTCCAACTGATAGCGAGTACAGAGGAAAAACTAACTCTCTTCAGTTTCAGTCTAATACCTTAATCACAGGATCATATTTCTTCCTTGCTGTAAACATTATTTCAGATTAATGCCTGATTTATGTCCAGCATTTATGAATGTGCAAAGTTCCATTCAGTTAAATCATCCCACTGGCCAAGAAGTTTGACAGTGCAGTGACAACTGGTTGCTAAAGGCATCAGATGACAAGTCCCTGAGGAAAGAGCTTCCTTCTAACTGCACTGGAGACAGCATGGGATCCACACTCAGATGGCTCATTGAGAAATACTTCAGTTACATAATTACAAAGCCAAAACTGCATTTGTACCTGAAAGCCAAACAGTGATTTCCAACCTAACAGATGTCATGTTAATATTAAATGCTGCAGTAGAGCAAGCGATCTGAATAAATTATGTTATCTATGCTTTTGCTAATACTAGGAGATGTCTCCTTGTTGTCAAAAATACATACAAACAGTTCTAACACAAATAACAAAGGAAAACTGTATGAAACTTACCATGAGCTACCTTAATTTAGCTCTACAGGAATGTATGGAAATGTTTCTACAGCCTTTTATGTACAGTAAACACTGAAAAACTGTCTACATCTTTGTTTGAAATACATTCATTGCCACTGGGAGAGTGTAACAGTTTCCACTGCCCTGCTATAAAACTGAGGAGCTGCAGACTACAGTTAATTTTTAAGTTAGGCTTTCTAAACTATTAAGGTAGTAACTACAAACTGTTTTCTTATTTCAGATGCTACAGTCAGATCATGGGCTCACAGAATCCAAACCAAAAGAGATTATCAGTTTGGGATTCATTCATTTCAGAACAGAAGTGGTCAGTTTTTTTCCTTGAAATGTTTCTCGAGAATTTTTTCCATTCAGAAATGGTTCATGAATGTTTCCATTCAGAAAATAATTACATTTTGGTTACTCATTTGAAAACATCCTAAGTTTATTTGAACTTTATTCTTTTCAGATTATTTTGCAACAGTAGCAGATGACCACAATATATCAAAATATTAGGTTGTTTCATTCCAGCAATAGGAAAAAATATTGTAACTAAGAGAGGCTATTGTGAACTTTATTAAGCAGAAATGACCTTTAAAAATTTTTAAAAAATAAAATGTGATGTGTGAGCTATGGGGCTTGTCATGTTCTGGAATAATATTAAAATTCAAAAAATAAACAATCATTTCTTAATAAAGCTTCAAGCCTCTAATGCTGAATTTCAAATGTCATCAGAATTTCATTTTTTCCAGTTTTAAAGGAATCATAGAAAACATGTTCCCCGAAAATGGAGAAGGAAAAGTTTTAAAATTAAAATATTTCAGGCACAATCACCTATTCTTAACCTATCTCAGGCAGTTTAAAATAGAGACATGACTGTTATAATATTGAAACTCTGTATATTGTAGCAATTACTATGAGACCTAAGTCATCAGAATTTCATTTTTTCCAGTTTTAAAGGAATCATAGAAAACATGTTCCCCGAAAATGGAGAAGGAAAAGTTTTAAAATTAAAATATTTCAGGCACAATCACCTATTCTTAACCTATCTCAGGCAGTTTAAAATAGAGACATGACTGTTATAATATTGAAACTCTGTATATTGTAGCAATTACTATGAGACCTAACTCTTGTGTTTTTTTTCCCTATGAGCTCAGCCAGCTCAGTTCTTCTATGACTTCTGCAGCTCCATCTTACAATAACCTCAGCACAAATCTCCCAGGAATGCACATATTCTAAAGCTACGTGTGGACTGTGTGAGACTCCAGGGTCTGGTTCCTTTCATATTGCAAACTACCAAGTGAGTTCTTACACAGGACACAAACTCAAACATGTCTGAATACAACAGCCTGATCTCTGCTATTGTGGACATCCAAGTGAAAAAATTTTGCCTCTGAGTTCAGGTGCCCCTTTAATAAATTCATGCCAACACATTTCTTTACAGGAAACACAGGCTTTTATGCTCAGACCATGGTACACCATGCAGGTCGCAGCACTCCCATCTACTTTGTTAATACAAATGTGTTGGACTCATAGGACCTATCTTTAGGCTCCCAATGTCTTCAGCCAGGATTTGTTCCAATAAATCCGTGGAGATGATGCTACCTGCAGTGGAAGAAGACATTTTCAAAAGGAAAAGATCATGTTCATTCACTTACGTTTCATGAGTCCCAAAAAAGAAGATGGGGTATTTATTTGCTGGAGGTTTCACAGCTCCTTCAGGGAGTTCATCAATCTGTAAGACAGAAAGCAGTTGAACAAAGATTATTCCCAAAAGTGGTGTCCCTCATCCAACAATCCCTACCAAGCCATGGAACTGCTAGCACAGGTATCCTGTAGCCCTGGGAAGTCCCACTGTGTGCTGGGGTAGGGAAGGGAAGACGACTGCTGGTTTTTCAGGCAGGCAGGTCATACAAAGTCAGCATATGACTGAAACACTACAGGGAGATAACAGAAGACCCAGGAGCAGACACAAAGTTTTAATGATTTCATGGCCATTATAACACACAAAGGCAATAAAATCAAGTCTGCTTAATTTAAGTGTTAACTTCAGATGCTGCCTCATCAAAGGCACCGAAGCCCAGAGGGTAATCCTGCCTGTCTCACACAGCCACCTCAATAACTTCTGCAACAAATGGGGAACAGATGGTATCTCTGAGACTCTGCAGCTGGAAGACCGGACAATCTCCCAGTGGTGCTTCCCAGTGGTGATGGTGGTGTGCAGTGCAAAATGCATGATGCATGCCAGGGAGGCAGGCTGGGGACTCTCCTTCCCCTGCAGTGTCCTGATAACTTGTTTTGGTCATCACTCCCCTCTGTGGTCTATCTCTTCTTTCACATTTTATCCCTGGCCTTGTATTTCTCACGGTACAGCTGCAGAGCAGTGAAGGAGGGGATGGTGAGAGTGTTGTCCTGAGAGACAGTCAGTACTGGGACAAAGCCCCCAGGCTGAGCAGTGTCTAGACTCCTTCCTATGTCTGAGTGAAAGTGCTGGTTGTGAGGCAGGAGGTGAGGCCCATGAGGTGAGGCTCAGTCTTGTCCATATCTAATTTTGCAGACCTCTGCAACAGAAACAAGAGAGTCCAGGTGCCTACTCACATAAACCACAGTTTTAAATAAGATCTAAGAGCTTTCCTTCCCAGTAATGGCACTTCTGAGCATATGTGGGTGTGTGAAATTAAGTGTCCAGAGCACTCTCTGGCCAAGAAAAAGCCTCATGAATCTAGATATCTATAGGGCAGCACCAGCAGGCAGGTGAATGGCTTGCTGCCTGGTCTAAGGCAACTCAGTCTTACCATAAGCATATTGAATCTTGCCAAATGTCACTGCAACTGAGAGCAAAGTGCTGACATAACAATGCTATACAAAATCTGCTCCTCAGCAGAGCACAGGGATGCAACCTGCATGTTTTCACTCATAAGACCAGCCCACATGTGCTTTCCTTCTCTTTTCTTGCCGAAGGACCCCAAACACTGAATTCTTGTTGATTAATAAACACCAGATTGTTTTCAAAGGATGTTCTCTTTCACTGGAAAGCATCCTCTGGCTACATAGCTTTCAAAGGAGTACAAGCTTCTCTGAGAATTCAAATCCTCTTGGTCTTTCTGCAAGGCCACCCCTTGGGGACAGAGAAATGACAGCCACATGTGGAACTGTATCATCACAGGATTCCTTGCTGCAAAAGAAAGGAATGCCTATCTTTTAGGTCTAACTGGAACTTCTCTGACGCTACACCAAAATCAGAGGATCTAAGAGCACTTCCAAACCATTCCCTGTCTCCTTCCTGCAGCATGACGCAGGGGTGGGGATGGTGGGGCACACTGGGCATGTGTCACCATGCACTCACTGCCCAGCACAGTCTGCAGAAGACAGTCTGTGATGGTCAGAGGTGTCACACACCTTGTGGGCACAGCAATTACCAAACTCCTTTTACTTAACAAAGCAAATCAACTGATAAATAAAAAGAGAATCTATTATTTCAGTACACATAGAAGGAAGATACACGCTGGTGCAAGATGAACACATGCACTTCTAGCTCAGCTGTGTGTAAGAAGGAACTGAAACAACATGACAGGCTTTTCAGTGTCCTCTTCATCATCAGGAATACACAGAGGAAAGACTGTCAAAGATACTATTTCAGAACTCATCATTTTCTGACATTAACTAGTTGGTTTTTTAAGTAAGTGCCCATAATGTTGCCATTTGCTAACTAATTCATGATTTAAATACAGGTATTAGACTCTAAGAGTGATAAAAAGACTGCAGGGGAAAAACACCACAACTCACTTTCCAAGCTGACAGCAAGTCAGGGAGATAGCATGTCCCACTCTGAAAAACGTTTTATGCCTCCTTAAAGATGGTACTATCTACATGTCAGACCGAAAAAGGATGTGCTGGCAGCTTATCAAGTACAGAGGTAACACACCTCAACTGTCTGGATGCCACAGCCATCCTCCTGTTTTTTACAACAAGGAAGATGTCCAGATACCAGATCCCAGAAAAATGTGGACTCCTTTGACTGAGACAAACAGTGTCTGCTGGGACTTGAGGGCAAATCTCATTTGGCCACTTGAAACGCGACGCCAGCTCTGGGCTGCATTACAGAGCAGCACAGTCCAGTTACTGCCTCAGCCCTTTAGGAATTTATCATGAAATACAGAGAACAGCTGTAAATGATCAGCAAAGCAGAGGAATGAAGACATGCTTAGTAGGGAATGCTGACCAGAAGGGAACAGGGATCTTACATCACACAACGTGCTACGCTCCAAAGCAGTGAGGATCTTCTCCTAAGCAATATCCCAAGTGGAGTTAAGCCTCCTGTCTTATTCCCAGCATTTAATGCTGTTAGCTAGGGAGCAGCACCAAATCAACAAAGGACAGCACACACATCTGTCACACAGCTTACCTGCTCCCCATTTTTTGGCATATTTCTTTATTCATCCACGTATCCCCTCTGACTATGTATCATCACAGGAAACCATAAAAAACCTTTTCATAGCTTTCGAGAGTTGGCATACACATACAAACACATGCAGTATAAATCTGCACTAAACAGCTCAAGGATAGACTGATAATGCTCCCACTCTAACATTTCACTCTGCAGCTGAGGTCAAGACTTTTCCTGCCTTCACTGATGTTGCTGTGAGCTCTCTAACTCTCAGGCTTATGTTGCTAGTACTGTAACGAGGCTGGATAGAGTGAAAGTGTTATCTTATGGCCATTTAACTCGGACCGGAGAATTTAGTGAAGGATGAGACCCTCTCTGCCATTAGGAGAGATCTCTTCTGTTTTTACCTGCTTCATGCAAATCCCTGCATTAGAGACAGTGAGAGGAGAGCTTTGTACAGTCCACCCCTTCCCAGCAAAGCCACCTTAGCCTTCTGTGAATGCAGAGCCTCTAAGTGCTTATTTAGCTGCAGAGCAACCCCAGCACTCCATGACGATTGCTGCTGTTCTGTTATAGCAGAAAGCAAGCAGCACAAGCAACCATACTGCACCCTCCTGCTGCTGCACTCACTCACAATTTATTCCCATTCTACAAGATGTTTTGGTTAAATATGCTGCAGATTTGGCTGTGATATTTTTCCCCATATCAGCAAGATCGAAGACAGAGAGGGAGGGAGGGAGACAAGGAGAGCGAGCGCATGAGCACAAGAGCGAGCAAAGCATCGCTGCTTGAAACCAGGAACAAAAGAGAGAAGTGCACCCATACTAGGACACAGTGTTGCAGTCAGAGAAACCTCACTAATGACTAAAGCATCTGTTTATCAGAGAGCCAGGCTGTGATTGCATTTTGCTCCTGGAAGGAAACAAACAGATTCTAAAGTACCCGTTATAACCTGCAATCAAACAGGAGCTCCATCCCCGCCTGAACCAGAGCAGACAGTGGGCTGGAGCTTGCTGCCACAGAAATCAGGGAGAGCAGCGCATGGCGTGCAAATCTGATACGTGCATCAGCAGCACCACGGGCAGCCGCTTCAATTATGGCTAAAATTAAAGCAGGTGGTTTCAGATTTCGAGTTTTATCCCCTTAGCTCCCGTTGCTGTCATCTGCTTAATGAATAACAATTGCTTTCTTTTTGCACAACCTCAGCAGAGCTGCACTGCCCAGCATTTGTTTGCCAACCAAGCAGCAGAGCTTTAAAGATGTAACTGTGCTCTTTTTTTTTTTTTTCCAGTAAACAAATGCCAGGCTTCTAGGGTCAAGAATACTGAACAGAAAATTCAGCATGGACCTCTCAAACCAGAGCAGGGCTTTATCAAACAGTGTTGCTAGGGGCTACCAATGTGCAAGCAAGAAATCCATCAGGATCCTTACATCGCAGTTCACAGGGTGGGATAGGATATACACGCAGCCCAAATATTCTGCCCTCGGTGGTGCTGAGTAATTGCTGACCTCTCAGGGAGTAGTTCCTGCTGGCTGTCACAGTCTGGGTTTGGCACTGCTCATACTGCAACGCTCCCCTCCCTGTTGCCATTAGGTTAGGGACCTCGGGGAGAGAGGCACTGCCTGGGTGCTCTGGACTGGCACTGCAGAGCCATGGCCCAGCGAGAAGGACAAGAGTGGCTCCCAGAAGCACAAATCATCCCCGTGCCTGCCCGTGGGATAACGTGGCATATTCCTGACATGCAGAGGAGCTCCCTGGGAGGGCTGATGCAGAAACAGAGGAAGCTGCACCTCCTCCCGGGTGTTCTGCTCTGCAGAGCTCTACATTCCCTGCAAAATGGGAAACATGTCTCGGAGAAATCGTTAGGCTTTGTCTCTGCTGCTCTGTGCACAGCAGCTTTCTGGGGAGGCTGATGTTATTTCAGCAGTCAAGGAAGGGGCAGTTCTGCCCAGCAAGGCATTCCAGACGCATCTCCTTCCACTTGGAGGGGCAGCCAGTGTCACGTTGTATGGCATCACAAATCTCTGTGCTGTGGATAAGCTGCTGTTCAGTGGCAGGAATTCCTGGCTGTCAGGGTGCCTTTCGGACCAGACCCCGTTCTATTATGTTCCAACCTAATTTTACACTGAAATTAAAAGGTGTTATGCAAAAATACCTATCAGTTCCCCAAGTACAGAAAAGAAAACTTTACATCAGCATGCAGAGATGCTTATGTGGGCACCAAAACCACAAGAACATGTCCTTTTATTTTGCAAGAAGGGAATTAAAACTGCAGAGCAGTAATCACTGATTGTTTTGACATACTGTAAATGCCTTTGATTGGCAAAAGCACACAGAAGCATTGCCG